CACCCACCAACTCAATTGCCTGTTCAATCCCCACAAAGGGCCTATCTTTGAGACCAAGAGTGAGTGGCAGGGAGTGCCCAGGTGACGATTAAATCTTTACGACTCCAGCAAGGAGAATGTTTGCCAAGAGGCTTCTCAGGGGGACCCAGAGATGTGAGAGGTCCAGGGACGCTGGGTCTCATCTGTGGGCCTGGGCTGCTGCGTGAGCCCCTCCTCCCCACCCAATTGCCCCCCTGATCTGCAGACTAGATGGTGCTAGACACCCCGGGAATGAGCTGGCATTCTGTGTCGGTAGAGCCAACAGCCTTGGGGCTCAGAGTTGGGGTCCACCCCAGCAGCCAGGGTCCCAGGGCCTCTGGTACAGACCTCTGCCCCCGCCATGCATGCACACATGCACGCACGTACGCACGCACACACACACACACACACACACACAGACCACTTCAAATCTCCCCCTTGAACCCCTCCCCACTAGTCTAAGTGCATGGTCCCCCAGCGGGCTCTAGGCCTGCCTGCCCCCATGGCTGGAACCGCACCCCGATTCACAACGCACCTCCTCCTTGGTGCCTGATAGACACGTTCCTGCTTACTCTGGGTCTCCTATCCGCTATCACGCTCCTTCCAGGGAGCTACCGTTGGTGCTCTGCTTCCCGGCCCTCCTAAACTCAAGCCCTTGGAACCCACGTTTTAAGAGGCAATTCATGGAGGGGGGGGAGGGAGTGGCAAGAGAGAACAGAGGGACGGGCACTTGCGTTACACACGGCCAAGCCGGGTTTGATCCCCAGCATCCCCTAGGGTCCCCCGAGCCCCGCCAGGGGTGATCCCTGAGCACAGAGCCAGGAGTCAGCACTGAGCACCACCAGATGTGATCCCAAACTAATAAAACTAAAAGGCGGGGCTGGAGCAGTAGCACAAGGGGTAGGGTGTTTGCCTTGCACACGGTCGACCCAGGTTCGATTCCCAGCATCCCATAGGGTCCCCCGAGCACCACCAGGAGTAACTGCTGAGTGAAGAGCCAGAGGTAACCCCTGTGCATCGCCGGGTGTGACCCAAAAAAGCAAAATTAAAAAAAAAAAAAAACCTAAAAGGCTACCAGTGAAAGGTGGGTAGGGGAGCTGGGTCTCCTTTGGGCCAACGGCCCCTCCCCCGGGCCCACCCCTGGGATTCTGGGCCTGACCTTCAGCCACAAGCATCCTCAAAGCAATTCCAACGAAGCTGGAGGCAGCGTGGAATGGGGGGGGGGGGGGGGGGCTCCCAGCTGCTCACAGCCTGTCCCCTGTGAAACCTTCGTCCCCCCTCAGGGAGGCAGTCGCCATGGACACCGCAGCAGCCTGTGACCTTCCGCCCCTGTCTGGCTGGACCCACGTCCAGTCTCCCAGAGACGGGGAACATGAACGGCAGGTAATAACTTCGCTGACGGACGAGAAGGGAAACGTCCATCTCCCCTGATGAGCATCTGCCCTAGAGCACGGTCAGGGGGAGGGGGAGGAGGGGAGCGAGGGCAAGGTGGGAGGCAGACCCCATGGGGTCCCTGGACCCACCTGGAGTGAGCCTTGTACACAGGCCAGGCCCCCCCAAGCAAACAAACATAAATAACATAAATCCAGAGGGGCTGGAGCAATAGCACAGCGGGGAGGACGTTTGCCTTTTGCATGTGACCGAGCCGGGTTTGATCCCCGGCATCCCATATGGTCCCCCAAGCACTGCCAGGAGTGATTCCTGAATGCAGAGCCAGGAGGAACCCCTGTGCATTGCCGGGTGGGACCCAAAAAGCTAAAATAATAATAATAATAATAATAATAATAACAAAAATAAAGCAAGAGGGGCAAGAGCTGGAGGCCGGCTGAGGGAGGAGGTTCAAGTGTGTGAGGACAGACGTGGCCGGGTCACTCCTCACACCAAAGGCACAAATGTCAACCCCGTTGGCACCACGTGACCTCAAACACGACCGGGAACTGAAAAGGCATCAGGGTGGGGGGCAAGGGGGTGCAGAGGGCACGCAGCCGGTGCTCCAGAATGCGGGGTGTGGGGGGGGGACGCGAACTTGGCACTTCCAGAACATTCTCAGTCACGTGTTTGCGGCTGCGACTCCTCCATGCACAGAAAATTACTCAGAAATGGAAAGGACAGCCCAAAGCTCCAGAGAGGTAAGTAGCAGCAGGAACATTCTGGAAGGACAACGTGGCACCCAGCCTCATTCCGGGCGCCCTAAACACCCCCTCTCCTGGCATCGCGGTGATGAAACACCCCCAGCGACGGGCTTGCTCCCCGCTCGGGGAAGAGGGGCTCGGGGAGTGGGGCGTCTCCACACATGCCGCCAGGGACACCCCCAACACTCAGAAAGGAGCCACGCTTCCCCCTCGCCCGAGCCGGGGTCTCACCTGGGATGTTGTGGACGGTGATGGCCAGGATGAGCAGCGCCAGCCTCCGCCAGCTGCTGCCGCCCGTGGGCACCAGGACCCCCGGTGGCGGCTCCAGGGCGGTGGAGTTCCCCGCCAGGACCCCTGTCTTCTTGCGCTGGTATGCCTCGCCATTCTCGGTCTTGTCTGCAGAGAGAGGGGAGAGGGCTTCTGAGAACAGGCCCCCCCCACCCACACACACACAGCAACAGGGGCAGGGACAGGGTGGGCTCCTGTCCTTCCCAGGGCGTCGGGCTCACTCCTGCCTCCCGCCCGCCACCCTTCCTCCTTCCTTCCCCCTCCCCCTCCTTTCTCCCTCCTTTCTTCTTCACTTCCTTCCTCCCCCTCTATTCATTTGTTCCTCCCTTCCTCCGTCTATCCATCCCTTCCTTCCTTCTTCCCTCCCTCCTTCCTCTCTCCTTCCTTCCTTCCTCCTCCCCTCCTTCCTTCTTTCCTTCCCTCCTCTCCTCTTTCCCTTCCTCTTTCCCTTCTTCCCTTTCCCTCCTTCCCTCTTTCCCTCCCTCCTTCCTTCCTCCTTTCCTCCTTTCTTTCCTTCCTTCCTTCTCCTTCCTTCCTTCCTTCCTTCCTTCCTTCCTTCCTTCCTTCCTTCCTTCCCTCCTCTCTCATCTTCTTTCCTTCCCTCCTTTCCTCTTTCCCTTCTTCCCTTTCCCTCCTTCCCTCTTTCCCTCCCTCCCTCCCTCCCACCTTCCTCCCTCCCTTCCTCCCAATCCTCCTGGGACTCGACCAACTGTCCCGACCAACTGTCCCGTCTTGGGGTTCACACCCCATCCCTGCTTTGACAGGCCCCTGAGACCCTGAGGCAGCAGGGGGCACCTTCCTGACCTGTGTGGGGCCGAGCTGCACCCCCAGCACCACCCAGCAGCCCCCAGAACCTCTGGGCTGAGCGGCCCTGCCCTGGCAGCCCAGTACTGAACTCCAGGGCCCACTTTGCAGAGCGGCCCCAGAGAGGACCCCAGGAGCCGCCCTCAGGCAAGAAGGCTCCCCCCGGTGTGTATCTGAAGGTGACAGGTGGTTGCTGGGTCTGTGGCACCTCACTGGGGTGTGGCCAGAGGAGGACAAGTGGATGGCGATGGTCTGGATTCTGGGGTCAGCACAGGCGGGGGTGGGGCGTCAGGCTCTGTACTCTGCACGGCTGGGAAATGGTCTATCCTGCAAGGGTGTGGCTGAGGGCAGCGCTCGGAGGGGGCAGGGGCGTGAGGGGTACTGGGATGAGTGGAGAGAGCAGATGCCCAGCCCCGCTGGCCGCCCACAGGAGGAGTGAGACCCGCATTCAGGAGGGCGCTCGGCTCTGCTCACAGAGACGGACCCCCTTAGTGGGGGTGGGGGCTTCCCTTTCCCAAAATCAAAGAGAGTCTCCGGGGGTGTCTGGGCTCAGGAGCTGCCCCCTCTTCTCCCGCAGACCCCTGAGCGGGCGCCCACCCCCACTCCACAGCATTCCCCCCCACCATCCCTCGGGCTGCAGAGGCCAGAAAGAACCTCCAGGGAACCCGACCCGCCTTTCCCGTTTGGGAGGAAAACAGTTTCTTAGTTCAAAAACACACAAGGGAAACAGACTCTATAAAAGCACAGGCTGTGTTTGCTGTGTGTTTGCTGGCTGAGCCGGCAAGGGGCGCTGGGGGTGGGGGTGGGAGTGGGGGTGGGGGTGCAGGCGCTCCCCCCCAGTCCTGCAGTTCCCCTGGGAGGTCCTTGGCCTTTGCCCGCTTAGCCTCAGACTCACAATGGCTCCCCGGAGATCAGACACCCCCTGGAGGAGGGCCTGGCTACAGGACAGTGGCGGGCATTTACCTGCGCTCGGCCGAGCCACGTTAGACCCCAGAACCCCACGTGGTTCCCCCCAGCACCACCGGATGTGACCCCCCCCCATAGCACTGTAGCACTGTCCTCCCATTGTTCACTGATTTGCTCGAGCAGGCACCAGTAACATCTCAACAAATTGTTTTTGGCATATTGAATATGCCACGGGGAGCTTGCCAGGTTTTGCCATGCGGGCGAGATACTCTCGGTAGCTTGCCGGGCTCTCCAAGAGGGATGGAGGAATCGAACCCAGGTTGGCTGCGTGCAAGGCAGACGCCCTATCCGCTGTGCTATCACTCCAGCCCGGACCCCCATACTGGAAAAAAAATCCTGTAGGGAAGTAAGGTCCCAGCTCAATACTGGCATGAGGCAAAGGCAGCCACTGTGTGTGTGTTTGTGTGTGTGTGAGCGCACGCGCGAGTGCACGTGTGTCCAGATATGCATGCGTGTGTGTGCACAGTGCATGCACAAACCAGCACATCATCCCATCCTCCTCCAGTTCTGGATCATGAGTGTCGGCACACATGTGTCCATCCGCCCATGTATGTCTGCCCACAAGTATATGTACATTCATGTGTACCTGTACACATGTGCACATATGTCTGCCTGCAGTGTCTGTACACATGTGTCTATCTGCACGTGTGTCTGTACATGTGTTTATCGGTCTGTACATGTGTATGAACACGTGTCTTATCTGCACGTGTGTGTCGGCGTGCCCGGGGGCTGTTTTAGGACGTATCTAGCAGTTTCTGGGGGTAGGCCTCCCAATCCGACGGCCTCTCCCCACAAATCTCTGCCATCAGGGCTGGCAGTGCTCTGTGAGGGCCCATGGGTGGGAGCTGGGGGGTGGGGGTGGGGGGAGAAGGTGTTCCCTGAGCCACTGGGCAGCACTCAGGGGGCCTGGGGGCTGCACCCAGCAAAGCATCCTGCCAGGTTCTAAAGCAGGACCAGCACAGACAAGCAACGTGTCCGGGACATTTTAGCATATCAATGCCAGTGACTCAGGCTGCTGAGGCAGCCAGGAAATGGAATTAAAACATCTTTGAAGGACAGAGCAGAGCAGGCCACCGGGGGCCCACAGTGTGGCCAGGACCCAGCTGGGCACCCTGATTCCTCAGGCTCTGGGAGATGAACGTCGCCCCCAGCTTGAGTTCACAGACAGAAACCCCCCAAGCCCACCCACACCCTCTGCGGTGCTTCCGGCAGGGGCTCCTGTCTTAGGGGGCGACAGACAAATCTACAGGGGCACAAACAAGCGCCGTGGACCCCTCCCCCCAGGACCCCTGGGGACCCTATTCAATAGCAGAGACACAGGCACACAAGGGCTTGTCTGGCCTGTTCCAGATCCAAATCAGTTTTTTTTTGCGGGGGAGGGGCACACCCAGTGATGCTCAGGGGTTTCTCCTGACTCTGCACGCAGGAATTACTCCTGGCGATGCTCAGGAAACCACATGGGACGCAGGGATTGAATCCGGGTCCGCCGCGTGCAAAGCAAATGCCCTCCCCTCAGTGCTATGGCTCCAGACCCCCGAAACCAATTGGGTTTGAGAGAGGCATGAGACGCAGCAAGTGGGCGTCCTCTTCTGGCCACGGGGTCCAGGGTGTGTGGACAGCTGTGGGGCCGTGTCTAGGGGGACACAGGGGTGCGGAGTTCTGGCGGTGTTGGGACGGTGACACCCGTGAAGTACCAGCGGCCCCTCCAGAGTCTGCCCTAGAGAAGCCAGGATGGCGCATGGCCCGGCGGGTGCCTGGTGGGGGCCAGGCAGAGTGGCAGGAAGCGGGAAGGGTCTTCAGAGAGGGAGCCGGGGGCCTCGGGAACGGAGTCCAGCAAAGACGGTTTGCATGCGGGAGGCCTGGGTTCGAGCCCCAGCACCAGTCTTCCCCGAGCACTGTGCTGGGAGCAGCCCCACCGGACCCCCGTGGTATCTCTCCAGCCCCAAAGTGACAGTTGCGGTGCTGGGAATAAGGCAGACATGCAAGGAAGTGTCTGCCACGAAGTCCCTCCCCCGCCCAGGAGTGCCCTTCTCGGAAAGTGGGAGTCAGCACAGCGGCTGCCGGGCTGGATTAGGGCTGGGCTAGATTGGGCTGGGTTGGATTGGGCTGGGCTGAGCTGGGCTGGGCTCGGGGTCAGCAGGGAACCTGGGGCCACTGGTTGAGGGAAGCTAACCCTGGAGGCACCGCCACCAGTGTCTCTGGGGATGCCCAGACGGCAGAGTCAGACCTCACGTGAGCCCCAGGTGCAATTCTACCACTCACTCGGGACGAGTGGCCGGTCCACCCCGGCCAGTGCAGCAAGCCCATGCCTGGGTCTCTTGGCTCAGCCTCAGCGAACCATAAATGACGCTGCTGAGTGCCAGGCGATCCCGGCCAGATCCAAACGGGCTGAGACTCAAGGGCTTGGTTCCGTGGCTGCACAGAACGTCAGTTTGGGCCCGGGGTGGGTCCTGCCAAGAACCTTGCATCTGGTGCTGGAGGGAGTCTCCAAAAAGGACCCAGGAGAAACCTGCAGGACCCCCGGGCACACACCTGGAACCACGCGGCCTGGGGTCCGGCTTCCTGCCGCCGTGCAGTGCAGCACACCTGGGGTCCACCGTCCACAACAAGCAGGGTGCCCTGTGCTCCCCCGACTCACACCTGAGCCCCTGCCCCCAGGATGTGGCAAGCAGGACACAGTATTACATTCTGGTTGCACCAGGTGCTTGGCCTGTTTCTTTAAAAAGCCGACCCGGCTTTAAGCCCCGGACCCCGGAGCCGCCCCTAAGTATCACCAGGAGTGGCTCTGAGCACTGAGACAGGAGCAAACCCTGAGCACTGCCGGGTGAGGCTCCAAAACAAAACCAAAAGATGTTGTGCTCAGGGCCTGTTCTGTGGACGCTGCTTTTGGCCACGCCCAGAGGTGCCGAGGGCCGAGGGTGGAATCAAACCCAGGGCTCCATTTTAAATTTCTTTTCTATAACAACTGCTGCAAAACCTTCCCCCCACGCTCCATGGTGAGAGGGTCAAACAGTTCCTGGGCACTGACAACAGCATCTGCTCCACCTCAGAAAGGCCATTCCCACCCCTCACAAGCCGGCTGCAGGACCTGCTCATGCCATTCCTTACGCGGCCTGGGGATTTCTCACCTAGAAATACACAGATTCACATCTGGGCGGGGAGTGACATTTCCTGCCATTTGTATTTCTTGGACTGCGAACGCAGGCAAACATTTCTCCGCGCATCGGGAAGCTTCCCCCGCTCGTCTGCAGACGGCTCGCTGCCCAAGTCGGGCCCGTTTGCATGACGGTGCCTTGCCGAGCTCATTGGCTGCCCGCGTGATGCCCTCGGTGAACGAG